ATTTCTGAAATTCGTCACAATTCGAGAAAAGCAACGCAAAAAGTTTAAAAATAGCAGCGAAACAGCTAGTTTTCCTCCACTTTTGGTACCTGGGAACTACCAAAAGTAATGAAAAACCAGCTGAAAAATTTGAAAGCAGCAGCAAAACAACCAGTTTTCATCCATTTTTGAATGGGTGGCAGCATAAAATCTCTGGAGTCACAATTTTTCAGAAAATTTCAGATTTTTTCAGTTTTTTTTTTCAAAAAAAATTGAAAAAAATGAAATTTGTCAAAATTCGAGAAAAGCAACGCAAAAAGTTTGAAAATAGCAGCAAAACCGCTAGTTTTCCTCCACTTTTTGTACCTGGGAACTGCCAAAAGTAATGAAGAACTAGCTGAACATTTTGAAAACAGCAGCAAGACAGTTAGCCTTCATCCATTTTTGAATGGCTGGCAGCAAAAAAAATCTGGATTCACAAATTTTTCAGAAAATTTATTTTTTTCAGAAATTTCTCAAAAAAAATCTGAAAGTCGTCACAATTCGAGAAAAGCAACGCAAAAAGTTTGAAAATAGCAGCGAAACACCTAGTTTTCCGCAACTTTTGGTACCTGGGAACTGCCAAAAGTAATGAAAAACTAGCGGAACAATTTGAAAACAGCAGCAAAACAGCTAGTTTTCATTCATTTTTGAAAGGTTGGCAGAAGAAAATTTCTTGATTCACAAATTTTTCAGAAAATTTAGATTTTTTCAGCTTTTTTTTTTTTAATTGAAAAATGTCTGAAAATTGTCTGAAATTCGTCAAAATTCGAGAAAAGCAACGCAAAAAGTTTGAAAATAGCAGCAAAACAGCTAGTTTTCCGCAACTTTTGGTACCTGGGAACTGCCAAAAAGTAATGAAAAACTAGCTGAACATTTTGAAAACAGCAGCAAAACAGCTAGTTTTCATTCATTTTTGAATGGCTGGCAGCAGAAAATCTCTGGAGTCACAATTTTTCAGAAAAATTATTTTTTTTCAATTTTTTCATTTTTTTTTAAATTAGCTCATTTCTGAACATTTTCTGAAATTCGTCAAAATTCGAGAAAAGAAACGCAAAAAGTTTGAAAATAGCAGCAAAACATTTAGTTTTCCACCTGGGAACTGCCAAAAGTAATGAAAAACTAGCTGAAAAAATTGAAAACAGCAGGGAAACAACCAGTTTTCATCCATTTTTGAATGGCTGGCAGCAGAAAATCACTGGATTCGAAAAGTTTTCAGAAATTTTCGGATTTTTTCAGAAAATTTTCAGAAATTTCTCAAAAAAAATCTGAAATTCGTCACAATTCGAGAAAAGCAACGCAAAAAGTTTGAAAATAGCAGCGAAACACCTAGTTTTCCGCAACTTTTGATACCTGGGAACTGCCAAAAAGTAACGAAAAACTAGCTGAACATTTTGAAAACAGCAGCAAAACAACCAGTTTTCATCCATTTTTGAATGGGTTGCAGCAGAAAATTTCTGGAGTCACAATTTTTTCAGAAAATTTCAATTTTTTCAGTTTTTTTTAATTTTTTTTCAAAAAAAATTGAAAAAAATGAAATTTGAGCAACGCAAAAAGCAAAACCGCTAGTTTTCTTCCACTTTTTGGTACCTGGGAACTGCCAAAAGTAATGAAAAACTAACTGAAAAAATTGAAAACAGCAGCAAGACAGTTAGCCTTCATCCATTTTTGAATGGCTGGCAGCAAAAAAATTCTGGATTCACAAATTTTTCAGAAAATTTAGATTTTTTTTCACTGAAAAAAATCTGAAATTCGTCACAATTCGAGAAAAGCAACGCAAAAAGTTTGAAAATAGCAGCGAAACACCTAGTTTTCCGCAACTTTTGGTACCTGGGAATTGCCAAAAGTAATGAAAAACTAGCTGAGCAATTTGAAAACAGCAGCAAAACTGCTAGTTTTTTCATTCATTTTTGAAAGGTTGGCAGAAGAAAATTTCTGGACTCACAAATTTTTCAGAAAATTTAGATTTTTTCAGTTTTTTTTTAATTGAAAAATGTCTGAAAATTGTCTGAAATTCGTCAAAATTCGAGAAAAGCAACGCAAAAAGTTTGAAAATAGCAGCAAAACAGCTAGTTTTCCGCAACTTTTGGTACCTGGGAACTGCCAAAAAGTAATGAAAAACTAGCTGAACATTTTGAAAACAGCAGCAAAACAACCAGTTTTCATCCATTTTTGAATGGGTGGCAGCAGAAAATCTCTGGAGTCACATTTTTTTCAGAAAATTTCAATTTTTCAGATTTTTTTTCAGAAATTTCTGAAAAAATCTGAAATTCGTCACAATACGAGAAAAGGAACGCAAAAAGTTTGAAAATAACCGCAAAAAACAGCTAGTTTTCCTCCACTTTTGGTACCTGGGAACTGCCAAAAGTAATGAAAAACTAGCTGAACAATTTGAAAACAGCAGCAAAACAACCAGTTTTCCATCCATTTTTGAATGGCTGGCAGTAGAAAATCTCTGGATTCACAATTTTTTCAGAAATTTCATATTTTTTCAGAAATTTTTGATAAATTTCTGAAAAAAAGTGAAAAAATTCTGAAAATTTTCTGAAATTCGTCAAATTCGAGAAAAGCAACGCAAAAAGTTTGAAAATAGCAGCAAAACCTGGGAACTGCCAAAAGTATAAAACTAGCTGAAAACTTTGAAAACAACAGCAAAACAACCAGTTTTCATTCATTTTTGAATGGCTGCCAGCAGAAAATCTCTGGTTTCACAAATCTTTCAGAACTTTTTCAGAAATTTGATTCACAAATTTTAATTCACATTTTTCAGAAAAAAACAAAACCTTGATTTATAGAACCTTACTAGACTGGAAACTCTCAAAACTAGTTGTCGAAAAAATAGGCACCTGTTTTGAATGTGTCAAAATCACGGGCAAACGCCAGGTGAGAAATTTTGGCGCAATAATTTTGGTTTTGACTGAGACTTGTGTTCAATTGGTACCATGCCCTGAGCCATGTCATCGCCAGCAAAAACTGTCCGCCCTGCCCCCCCTCCCACACAGTGCACAGACCAAAATTCAGCATGAATTGCAAAGTTCTTGGTCCCTGGAATGAAAAGTGAAATATTTCAATGGTTCTTCCCTTCTTGAAACTCACAAAAACAAGGTTGGAGTGATTTCCCAATTAGTGAAAGGCGAGGTCGGAGTGATTTCCCGATCAGTGACTGATTAAGACAAACGAGTTCCAATCCCATATTTTTGGAGGCCTTCTTCTTAATAAGCCTTTAATAAGGATTCGACATTTCAGCCCCAGAAAAAACACATTGCAAATCCCAAACCCTTATTAAGGGCTTAATAAGTGAGGATCCACTAATCGGTCCTTATTAAGGCCCACTTAAGGTCCGATCCTTATTAAGCTCTTATTAAGAGCTTATTAAGAGCTTAATAAGGATTTGCCCTCTGGGGGGGTAGGCTCTGGGGGGGTAGGCGTAGGGTTTCATGAACTCATATATATGTATATATATATATGTATGTATGTATATACATATATAATTATATATATATATATGTATGTATATATGTATATAAATACCCGAGTCAGCCAAACCCCCTAAGTTCGTAGGATGCGAAAAATACCTGAGGTTTTGAAACAAAACCCGGGGTTTTCAAGTTTCCTTTGATTTCACGACCTTTCGCCTGATGTTATGGTTTGTTACATGTGGTGGATTTTGAATCAATGAATCAATGTTGCACTGCTCAGTGGCCATCCCAAGCACAACATTGAAAAACTATGCTTGATCAATTTCAAGTGGTTCAAGCCCATAAATAAACAGGGTTGTCACAGGTAAATCATGGGTTTGGCACGGGTAAATAATGAGTTTGTCATGGGGTGCTAGTGTCCCGAATCACCGATCCGATAAAAACTTCATGTTGGGATTGCATGTTCTTCAAACGCACATGAATCACAAATGCCTCAAATTTGGAAAGGCGATAAAGAAGAAAATCGTCAAGAGGACTGAATGGGAGCCGGGGGCCCTCTGGGAGTCACGAAGTTTTTTTCCGATTCGGAGGGTTTGTGGAAAAACCCGAGGTTTCAGAACGGACAATGAAATTTTCAGGCTTCATGCTCAGGGTACATCCGTCAACCCCATTGGATATGGGTCAAAACACCAAATAGATAATTAGTAAACTTTGGTTATGCCGCTTATGCCACTATTCAAACGGATAATTATTTACTAATGACATGTGGGTGTGGCTAAAAACTGTTGTACAATGTGATTGGGGATACCTACTCCTTGTATCCCATGACTACCCCATTTTTTGGAGACTACTACCAGTGATGATGGCAGCTGGCAGAGGATCGGCAGGCCCTGAACCAAGCGAGCTTGGTTCGCCAACGATGCTCCTCTATGAGCTGCCTCTTCCAGTGAACTATGATCCCAACCCAAAGTTGAGAAATGTTAAGAACAGTCACCAGTTGCCCGCTACGGCGCCAAGGATGAACAGGCTCCACCCGGCAAGGCCGATGACAGATGTCCCTCTTGACCCTTGAGCATATATGGATTTGATGAATCGGCCACTCTTCAGCCAACCGTTAAGAAAAATCTTTCAAAGAACACACACATGATGATGTGTATATCTGTACTTATGCAATGTTATACACACACATCCCATTATATTCCCACCATACACTATGATACATTATCCCATGCTATTCCCCGTATATTCCCATAAAATCACCATAATTGAGATACTACGAACCCACCAATTGTAGTAAATCTTGCGAAATGTGGGAAACCCAATAATAGACCTACCATTTCGGGATGGTTGATAGGACCTATCAAAATGGTGATTTTGGAGATGGTTTGTTATTGGGTGTACCGGTTTACCGCATTCAAGCACTATGAACAATAATACAATAATAAGTCATCTCCACATTATGAGGGTTTGCCACATTATTGGGGTTACCACATCAAAGCACATTTGTAACTATCATACCTTGAGACAACCCATGACAACCCGCATCTTCTCTCTCCAAGGCACCAAGTGCGCCACCGTGAAACTTCCTCCAGAGATCAAGTGTGCCACCTGGCCGCGAAACGTTGGGATGAGATCCTGATGTAACATCCCCTAAGGGGCGTTTTCTAGCAGAATATGATGTTTTTTTTTTTAAATCTTCGGATGTGAATCTGAGCATCCAGGATGGTTAAACCAACCGACAAAAGAACTTGGGAACCGGGAGGATCCGTGCAGTGGCTAAAATCACCAGAGGCCGAGCCATACCTCAATGCATCCCAGCTCCAAAGGTGTCGTAGGGTGATGCCAAGGGCCCACTGACAAGGGGATAGCCCCAGGAAGTGGTGAGCTCTGTCCCAACCAAGAAATTGGCGTCAAACAAGTAACAACAAAACTTTCAAGCAAAACTTTCAAGCAAAACTTTCAAGCAACATCCACTCCCGTCTAGCTATGGGACAAATGCCCTTTCATGTTCTTCATTTTCTGTACACAGCCAATGTCTATTGGTGACAAACTCCCATGATCTCTCATGAGTCTCGGCTTATCTGGTTGTTTCTCCATTTTGCCCACGTCAAAAAGAGTTTTCCAGCTAGCCCTTGATAGCCAAATGGACTTCAACTATTTCCTCTATAAACATCACATTCGGGAGCTTAGCAATCTATTTAAGCACCATTTGAAGCGATGTTTATTTGGGTCACTTCAGGGCTTTGTCTCATATGACATCAGGACCCCTGTCGAAGCAATAGGTAGGCAAACTATCTACCAATGGTGGATGGTCCAATGCTATGTTTGTTTACCAATGAGTGAGACAGTAGACCGTGGTTTGCTGGTTGGTTGAACATGCTTGAGCCACCCATCCAAAACCATGGTTTTTCAATGCCAGTTTACGCCTTGGGCCTTGTTTCAATTAAGAAAGCAAGAGGTGTCAACGGGCAACAATCACTATATCATCCCAGTTCGGATGAAAATTAAAGCTATCTTAAACCACCAAGCACCGAGGTGGCTTGAAAATCATCATACTCCAATTTCCAGCGGGTGTTATTGTTACGTCGATATCTATTCGTTCTTCCCCAGCAAACGACTCCATCATCATAAATTCAATTGATGTTTTCTTTTTTAAAATGTATATTAACACATATTAAATATTATATATATTATACCATTGATAACATTGTAAAATATCCCATGATGATGTTAACACATCTATATATCCTCGCCATCATTCTCCTCGCCAGGGGCCAGCCCCACCGGGTCGTGGATGGGCTTCACATGGCTGGGCGTTTGGAGAAAGGATCCCACCTGTGGACCTGGACGGAGACCCGGGGGAGATGCGGAGATGCCCAAATGGTCATGTTAATATATGTTAATATATGTTACTATGTATGTCACTATGTATGTTACTATGTATGTTAATATGTATGTTAATATGTATTAACATGTATGTTATGTTAATATGTATGTTAATATATACATGTTAATATATGTATGACTGTGTAGCCATGTACAATATTGTACAATGGTGCAATATGGTCCAAGGGTGATTATACCTGATAATGCTGATTCGACCTGATAATTGATGATTTACCTCACACAAAAATCCCTCTGGTAATAACTAGCTATACTGTAGATGGCCCATTTAAAATTGATGATTTAGCTACTAAAGATGGTGTTTCTCCATTATCTATGTTCGGGGGATAGAACCACTCTAAGTTGGTTGCGACCACCATTATATATTCAGATCTTGCAGCAACCTATATCCTCATCTCTATCAGAATGGTCAATAGCCTTGGTTCACAAGTCCCGGTGAACCTACCGGAGTGGAAAGTCGCGATGGTTTTTGACCAGTTATCCCCATCATTTATTCGTTAGATCCCGATTTCTGGGTAGTGATTAGTGATACATGTATTTCACACGCATTCAACAGGGATGTGAATCCAACATCATCCACCCGTCGCAAGTCAGAACAATTCCATATATAATATATATATATATAATTCCTTTAAACTAAAAATATGATGAAATATGATCAACAAGCCCATTTGGGTGTTTCTCAAATTGAGCTACGCCAATAACACCATTGGTTCCGGTTTCCAAAGGATCATGACTTCGCGTCCTGGCTTGTTGGACCGCCCCAAATCATTGGTTGCTGATACATCCAAATGGCATTATACTTCTGATCCCACAACAAAACAAGATTTAAATCCCATTCAAACCAGATTAAAACACCTCCATTCGTATCATTTCCAGTTGGTCAAGTCCAGCAAACAACTATTCCAGACCTTGGCGAATCCCCCTACCGGGGATCCATAAGAGGACCCTTGGTGGCTCCCATCCCGCCTAGGCCCAACTGACCGTGGTGGTTGCTCCCCCAGGCGAAGAGCCGACCCTGGGTATCCACCACGAAGGTTTCCGATTCTCCACCTGAAGCATCTGACAGACGGCCAATGGGGGTCTGAGACAGGGTAAACCCAATGCCATGAAAACTACGATTTGGGGATGGTTTATAGATGTTGATAGCACCATATAGGACCCATAAAATGGTGATTTTGGGGATGAAGTATGATTAAATCTATTTGGAATGATGTAGAATGACCACAAATGGACGGTTACTATAGATTCTACATGTATCTATACTTACTATAGATCTATAGATACCAATGTCCCACCATTTTCATTACCGAAAGCGCCGTTTGCGCCGCGCTGCGCAACCCGGCCGAGCGACAGACCACGGACCTGAAGCTGGCGCTTTCGATGGAGAACTTCTTGGGCTGAAGCACCTTAGGTCCCGGAGAAATTTCAACAGCTCAAGTGGTTACTAGCTAAATGTTAAATGCCATTTCATACCATTTTGTACCACTTTATACCATTTTATATCAGTTAAAAAAACATGTTGAGGACTGTATAATAATGTGTGTATGTAATATGTATAATATTGTGTGTATGTAATATGTATATATTATATTATAATATATTATATTACTGTAACTACATTGACATTTAAATATACGGACTTTTAAATATACGGACTTTTAAATATACGAACTGGTATTTCATACTACCTCCGGGGCCTCGCGGTCTGGCCCGCCCTCCACATATTTAAATGTCGTTACCGTATGTATAAAGGCTCATCTGTCTCATATCCACGTGAATTGTTGTGTATAAGGGAGAAACCATGGATCAACTTGATACCAGACACTTGGAATGCGAATTCACCGGAAGATGCAACCGAACCATTCGAAACCCAGGTAGCCTTTGTTCAACCCCAAACAGCTGTTGAAACATTCACTTTTCATCATCTCCAGCTATGGCAAACAAAAGATAGACAAAAGATAGAAACAGAACAGTCACATCCTACTAGAATAGTCCGACATGACCTTTGGATCTCCGTTTTATTTTCGGTTGAAAAACGTTTTGCTCCATCCCAGTGGGTCCCAGTGGGTCCCAGTGGGTCCCCTCCAAATCCCTCCGCGGCACATGTTGGACTTCTCCCAACAAGGATGCCTTGCCCCAGACAAAGAGATCTTGATCCATGGTGATCTTAGTGGCAAACACCGGGCAGTACAATCCACCAGACTCCCTGCATCCTTTTGGGTTACTGGACGTTACTGGGTTGTCTTGGAATATCTCACCCCCATTTCAGTCGTGGTTTTTGCGTATGCCTGGAATCAATGAGCTGGCAGTGTGGCTACCACTCGGGCAGTTACACATGTTACACTTGCGACTAAGAAAATCAACCTCAACATACCTCAACTTCAACAACCACAACCGCAACCACCACGTCACTCCGCACCGAGCCGCAGCAGCAGAATGGTCCGTGCCCAGCGAGAAATCGCGCAAGCCTTTGGGCAGTTTGCTGATGCGCGTGGGGTGAAATTGCGAGTTGGTGTCGCCATGCCCAAGCCTGGCGCGGGCCGTGCCGGATGGCTGTGCCACGAGAAGGGGAAGGAGAAGCGGTGAAAAAATCCTGCCTGAAAAGATACACAGTTTTTCTTCAACGGAAGCAACAGAAAGCATTGCAGTGACATACAGCAATTCATTGGTGTGGACAATGCTACACGGAACATACACCATGGGATCCAAAAGTGAAGATCCAAAATGTTGCAAACCCAGAATCAGGTACAAAAATTGAACCAACGCTTTCCAAGTTCAAACACATTTCCCAAACGTGGGAAACAGAGTTCTCCAAAACTCCAAAACCTCGGTTTTTTTTTTCGGAATTGAAAATACTGGCAAACAAGAAAACCCTGCTTTACTATCCTGCTTCGCTTGTTCTCCTTCAGTTTTTTTAAAGCAAGGACACCCGTTCCTGGCTGTTATAAGCATGGGGTGGCACTCAACAAATTTTCCAAATTAAATTGTCATTTTGTGATATTATATAGATCATTTTATGGGTACCCCAGTTTCAGACACACCCATATCTTTGGATTCAGCTTGAAGATATGTTCCTTGGGGCAGATCGCGGATCGACCATCCAATTGAAGCCTACCCTGCGGCAATGTAACATGGCTATGGAAAATGGCCCATTTACCCATGATTTGCCGATGAAAACTGCTGATTCTCTATAGCTATGTAAAAATTACCGTGAAAAAAAGGAAGCAGTTGTCAACGTCGGCTCATCCAAAAGCCAGGGAAAAAGTCGCCCCATCTTCTGATCCCACTCTACGGATTTAGATCGGGAGACCCCGTGATACCAAGCAGCACCTCTAACTGACTTAGCCTTCAACCAGTGAGCTTACTAATCCCAAATATTCACCCAATCATCATTTATCATCATTTATCATCATTTATCATCATTTATCATCATTTATCATCATTTATCATCATTTATCATCATTTATCATCATTTATCATCATTTATCATCATTTATCATCATTTATCATCATTTATCATCATTTATCATCATTTATCATCAGTTATCATCAGTTATCATCAGTTATCATCATTTATCATCATTTATCATCATTTATCATCAGTTATCATCATTTATCATCATTTATCATCATTTATCATCATTTATCATCATTTATCATCATTTATCATCATTTATCATCATTTATCATCATTTATCATCATTTATCATCATTTATCAACTATACTAACCAATATCACCTATATTCCCCTGATGTTTGGTGCTTAAGCCCCTATGAAAAATCCCAACGGCCGATGGTTCCCGCCTGCCGTACCAGCCATTGCCAAAGGTGAACAGCGAATGTTCCTCATCGGCCTTGAGAATTCATAGGAATATTGGATATTCATAGGATTGGGTATTACTGGGATATTGTCGAGATAAGCAATGGGATTGACGTCCAACGACAAATGGTCAATACTAAGAATCGCCGCGTGAGGGTCCATCGGTATTTTCCGAATCTTGTTTGAATCTGGCCCTCGGGTACTTTGATTTTGATGGCCATCTTCTAACTACAAGGGCTTGCGACCCAGGTACAAGACCATTTCCTAACCTGCAAACATCACTGACATTACTGGCTTCACCCAAACTAATCCTATCTTCCAACTCTAATTAAATCGGTTTGAGGCCCATGTAAGCAGTGTTCAAAACCCGAGCCTTGTCATTCCATCGTACTGGTTGGTTCAGGACAGGATTCCCAGGTGCCTGATTCTAGTACAACCATCATTTCTCACCTGTATTCCCACATCTTGATCGTTAAAGCCTTGGTGAATGATGCTTAAACCAACTTGAATCCCATAAAATCCCATAAAATCCCCGTAGTTTTTTTCGCAGCCGTTCTTCAAAACCAACTCGCCGGACCTTGCTGGAGCAAAGAACGCCCGTGGAGTTGGGACCACAGCGCACCTCAGGTTTTGTTGGGGTTGATCCAATGGCGAATCGGCTAGAACATCCACCATAGAAATCGTTGATTTTCCCACTGGTTCACCAAGAAATACATCTGGTTTTTATGGTGGTTAATGGTGATTAATGGTGGCAAATGATGATTTTCCCGCTGGTTGGTGAATGGTGGTTAATGGTTATTAATGATGGTTAATGGTGGTTAATGATGATTAATTCCCACTGGTTGGTGGTTTGGTATACCTAGCCCTCTGAAAAATGATGGAGTGAGTGAGTGAGTTCGTCAGTTGGGATGATGACATGACCCCAATATGATGGGAAAGTCATAAAATTCCATGGTTCCAAACCACCAACCCGTACAAACGGCTATCAACCTACATTTGCTGCGGGGATTTTTCGCCATCTGCGGTCCCTTCGCGGCATAAATGTACTGCACAACATGGACCTGTTTTTACCCAACGAGAAGAGTCCTGTTTGTTTGTTGGTTGGCTGATGGGTTCCATTCCGTTATGATTCGTTAAATCCCATTGATATCCCATTCATATTCTCATACTCCACGCCTGTGACAAGCGACCATGATTGGATGCTGCGGTCCCGCTTTCTTCGCGTCAGTCTCGAACTCCACCTGCGGACCCGCACGGCCAAAAACGGCTTCACAAGTGTCAGTAATTGGTAGGTCTTGCAAATCTCTGACACACCAATTGGGGAACTGAACCTAATCTTAATGAAAATAGTCGGAATAGTGTTTGGAGGTGACCCAAATACTCAACAACTCAAGAAATCCTCAGAAATTATGAATATATATATATATATATGAATATGAAGCTTATCTTCAAAGGGAAACTCAGTTGTTGAGTTTCTTGAAGGCACTGACCATCCCGCTACTTGGATCCATGGTGAAAACTGGGCTATTGATGGCCTATAAAACATGGATAACCATGTTTTATGGCCACTTAAACCGCGATAAAAACCCCAAGGTGAAGAAATTTTGTGGCGGCTGGTGAAATATCTGCCATCTTTGGACAAATACACATTCAGCATACCTATAGCAATAGGTATGCTGATGACAATTTTTGATGGGTAAAATCACGTGAAATCCATCTTGTTGATAGTTGAACAACCTTTTGGATCCTTTTGAATATCCCCAACAGCAGGGTTGCTCTGAACACCTTAGATACAGAGGTCAAATCAATTCAAATCATCAATTTACCACCCAAGAGCGGCTATCATTTACCTATATTGTAGTAGGTTGGAACGACCTGAACAATGGTGAAATCATCTTTTGTGATGACTAATTCAGATTAAATCCACAGTTTTTATACTTAAGTCACCAGTTTTGTTGGTTCAATCGCCATTTTGAAACCATGTTTGATGCTTAAATCACCAGATCCCTGGCCTGTGAAGGTAGGTTGCAGGGCCCACAGGTGATGAAGTTGCCCAAACCCAGGACGCCACTGTCCGCCATGCCCCAAGTGAAGACAAACCCTGCAAAAACTGGGCCGGGATCAAGTTATGTCCTCAAATCATATGGTGGTTTAACCATCAAAAAGTGTGGTTTCATCATCCAAAATGTGGCTTCCAACATGATCCAACTATCCAATGTGGATTGGAATGTAACCAGGATTCCCAACCCAATTTGCGCCAATTTGGCACTGAACCCAGATTGGCCAACCCGGATGGCATCACAAGGAAATGTTTACGAGGATTCTCCAGACTAAAACTTGGACTTTGAGGCAACAATCATGGGAGACTGTAAAGACATGGTTTCGATGAAACGATGAATCTTACCAATTGGCAATCAAACCTGGCTGGAACATCTCCCATCTTTTGATGATTTCCCTGATAAAACCCAAGGAGGCCCATGAATTTTTGTAGGTGATGTGGTAAGCCCAAAAAACTCCACCGTTCCAAGGTTTGTACTCTAATGTCTTTATTAATAGTTCAACAGTCAGGTTTGGGTTTCTCATTAAGTTAAATTGTTTACACATTTAATTGTTATGGGTCAAACATGAACACCTCGGAAAATTGGGCAAATCAGAATCCAATTCGTCGCGACCTAGGTACATGCAAATTGCAACTGCGAATTGGGTTCGTCCCCAAAATCAACACCTCTAAATTAGGCAGATTGGCGAAACACTAAGCAGCACTGCGCGGTTTTTCAATGGATAGCTGCCACAGGCAGAGACCAGCCTCCACATCATAGCTCTACTCAAAAATACAAATGATGTGGGTCCCTTGATACAGTGAAAAGCGGCAGCAACTTTTGAAGTGCAAAAGAAAGGGTTGCGGAGAGAGCACAGTTGTGCATGTCATGTGTGAAACTTGCAGTTGCCATGCTGGGCCATGCTAGTCTCTTCTAACATGTTAACACCCCGCCTCAGGTGGTGGTCCACAGTTTTGGCATACTGTGACTTCCACCTGCCCCTACCCCTACTGTTTGCTACAAGCCGCTATTGGGCCTCGGCAAGAAACATGGCATGGCGCATGTTATGTGGACACGTAGGATCGATGAGTGAATGCACTCTGACATGCTCATGCAGGTTCTGCTGTAGTGTTGTGCTTGCACAAAAATGCAAGCGCCAAACGCCAAGCAGCTTTTTCATTGGATAGCTGCCACAGGCTGGCACTCCTGGACAATCTGAGCAGAGACCAGCCTCCACATCATAGCCCCGGCTGCAAAGGTGGCTGCCTGTTGAAAAAGGCACCAAGAATACCACATCTGCAATCCTCCTTCGGCTCAAATCGTCGGCCCACCCGTGGCGCTCTCCAGCACAGCCTGCAGATGTGAGTTGCACTCCGTATGCCACAGCATGAAGCTAATCGCTTGCAAAACAACAAAGGCAAAAGGTGTCTTCAAAGAAAGCTGCTTCTGCCATCCGGCCACCGCCATCTGGAATTTATCGGCAGCTGCAAGGAACCTGTTGGAACAAGGGGAGCTGCCAAACAAGACCTGTCAGAAGTGGAACATAGGTGATCAGCAACACTGCAGCTTCCGCCATATGGCAACCTGAGCGTGCACATCCGATCCATCCAATGTGCATGCAGAATCAGCGTCAGTGATCCCCTCAACACCAATCAACTTGCCATCATCTGGCCCTGTTGTCGCTCCTGAGGCGGCAAACTTGCAGGCCTCACCATATTTGCACTTGCCATTTTTTGCCAAGCATGGCGCGCGTGCTTCGGCGCAACATCAGCGCAGCGGCGCTTCAATGGTGCCAAATCTTTGTCCTGCAGGTGCTTTCCAGAAATTGGGGTCTTCTGCATGCACCTTGGGAGAATGTAAGATGTCGCAACAAATCTCCACGCATCACACTCTCCAAGGCGTCTTCAACTTTCGCCTCATCGCCTTGAACATGCAGAAAACATGCATTCTTATCCTTGTGTGGATATCTGGAGCTGTAGCTGATGGGATGTCATAACTATAGACTATGCGAAAGCACCTCGCTTACGATCTCTTGGTCCGCTTCCTCAGCCTCTGATGGTGAAATCAAGCGAAAGTTTGCCCCTGGTTGCTAGCAGTAATGAAACAAAGAAACGGTTGACATAGGCCATCCAGACATGAAGATCCCCAGCAGAACATATGGAATATGGATGCACCCAAACACAAGGCACATGGAAAATCTTCAAGGGCGCACTGCGCAAGTCTAAGTTCCATTCTTCACCGCGCTGCAGCTTCAGCAACTAGTTCGGCCATGTCGCGCTTGCGCGCTCCTCCGTGCGCATGCACCTGCATCATGGCCTCTTCTGACAGACCTTCCTCCAAGGGGTCCATGCCCATGACTTCGTGCGGTACTGCTGCTGAATCAACTGGAGATAAGGAACAGATGGCAACACAGCAGGGTGAAGCTGGACGCCTGGGTAATTCCCCCCAAATTTCTTCACCATTGCTTCGCTGTCTGCGTCGGACAAGCGCTGGTGGCCTTCTCCAACTGGCTGTGAAAAGGGCAAGGCAACAATGGCGGCATAGCTGGCATAGCTTCAGGTTGCGCCGCCACACTCACGGCAGATTCAAACAAAGATTCAGTTCACGCACCCAGCGCAACGCCCCAGTCACCGGATGAAAAGCTCCAGTCATCTTAAACCAGTCTAAATAATCTCCGTGCGAAAGCAACTGCAAAAGACTGCTTCATATGCATATGTCTCCACCACCTTCTGCGCCACTTCCGCAGCAATGCCTGCCTTTACCAATGTCTCCTTCCAGGGATTCGCCATTCCACAAAATTCACAAATAAGGCACATCAACCCAAGCTTTTGACAATCTGTATCAACATACTGCACCACACTTTGCTGTAACTGGAGCAAAAAACAGGTGGCACTACACCAAACCAGAAAGGCACCCTTTGCTTTCAAACATGCCCCAAACGCCCGCAATATAAAGACAAGGTGGCATTAGCCAATGTTGGCCCCCCAACCGTAGGAGAACGGCCAAACTTGACTCCAAAGCCTAACAAGGCTATACCCAGCAGAACGATCAAGCTGGCTCCCCAACTGTAGTATAACTGCCGGACTTGACTCCCCTATCCAGAAAGGCGTAACGAGACCATATGAAGGGCAAACAGCCAAGCTGCAGCCACATGCCCATTAAAGCCCCAACTGTAGGAGGATGGCCCAGCAACCACTGTGCGAGCAACATTGAAACCTTGCTGCACACGGATCACTGTGCCATACTTCATAACCATCATGCAGATGGGCGCTGGGGCGACAAGCCAGCAGATATATTCTGCCTCACCACGCTTGATGGCTTTCTGTGCCCATGCAGAAACACAATGCAAAATCCAAGGGCCACAAAAACTTGGCAGATACCTCATTGGTGATGCATCATCATCTTCTTCTGTCTCATTGACTGACATCCGTATCGCAGCTGCCGCAAGAATCCAGATTGCTATTTGTACCCTCAAATCCAAACCCAACCGCCGGGGCGCTTAGAGGCCGATTTTTACCTAAGCATCCAACCCCACGCTCTAAATGCACATGGGGATCCAACCCTTGTTCAGCGCCGCCATGATGTCCCTTTGACAGCTTCTGCGCATGTACTTGGCCGCACAACCTTGAGCGTTCTGGCTTCGATGGTATCCTTGGGCAGCATGGACAGACTCAGCCACACCGACACAACTGGCCCAACATGACATCGTCGCTTTTAAACTATGCACCGTAGACCAGCACGCCATATCTGAATTGAGGCCACCATGACAAACCAAGCAGCGCCAAAACCGCCAAGGCCAGAAGAAAAGGGCATGGGTCCACCCTTGTAGGCACGCAAAAAACCTTGCTGCGGTGAGTCAAACCATTTCTTCCCCAATGCTCGCCCGAAATAGCACGTACTAAAAAAGCCCATGGCATCCCACGCTTAGAGCTCTTTGTTTGCAAACGCCAACCAGAAACCACGCCCATCTCTCAGGGTAACGGAAGGTAAATCCAACCTTTGCAAGTCACTGAAAGAAAGACCTGCCCATGCCATCGCCAAAGAGCTACCTAACAACCAGCTGTCCTCCAAAGAAGATTCCAGAAACACTACCTCCAAGGAACGCAAAGCAGCAAAAAGCAAAGGCAAAAGCTTCTCTGGCTCGTGCCAAACGCCAGCTATCCTTGCGCCTCCAAGCTTCAAACAGGGGGCTCTTTAGCAATGTTTGATATTTGCCAAGTGACAGCTTTGCTGCGGCAAATGCCGGAGCACGATCCGAAAAGAGACTCAGAAGCTGCTCATCAGGAATCTTATCCGTCTTATCCTTCAGTAAGCAACTGGCATCTGCAACCAACTTGGAGGCTGCCAACCCATTGGCATGCATGCAAACTTGTAATCTGCCGCATCTTCCATTGCCCGAGCTGAGCTCACTTGATCGCGAGGCGCTGCATCACATCCAGACGCAGCAAAGGAACGTGCTTGAGGAGAAACAATACAAACAGCAGCTGCCATCCCATAAACTGCTTGCACACGGGGAGCAGCCAGCCGGCACAAACGCGCAGGCGGGCGAGCCAAGCCCGTGCCAAGGCCAGCAACAACATATATGGGGCAGGGCGTGTCTGCCTCTTTGGTCTTGCCAATGGCATCCCAAAGCCGCACAATAAAACAAGAAGAAAACAAAACCATCGAACACAAGCAAATGACCGTTTCTCAAAAAATCAGGATCTGAGCATACACTTGCCACCCATATGCAGAAGTCAAGTGATCACATATACATCCAAAAGGCTCATGCAGGTTCTGCTGTAGTGTTGTAGCTTGCACTGAAGTGCAGGTGCCAGACTATTAGGGTTTGCACCCATACCCACATTGGTTTGTCGGAAAATAGGCTACCGCTATACAAAAGACGGTGTATCATCCATTTTCCTATTCCAATTGCAGCAATTACCTTGGGGTAAACTACCACGACCCAAGGGGCTTCCATCGGTCATCTCGGCCACCGCCGCACTGTGCTGCCTCGACCCGGCGTCAGGGGGTTGGGAAAGTCACTGGGGATCATCCCACATATTTCAGTGGTTGAACATCACCAAATAATACAGTGAATATATACAGCATATCCAATTCTTCACCAACCACTGGTTGAAAGCAGCATATATATATACATATCTCAATAGTATATACTGTTTGAAAGTGTACTACATTCAGCTCCGGGCAGCTGGGAAAATGGTTACAGTCGTGTCTAAGTCCTGTTGAAACCCTCCCAGAGGTGCTGTTTGTGATGGAATTGGAAGGACTTACTTGGATGTGCATCTCAGATAGTAAGGGCTATATAACCTATGTATATACATATATTATATCAATGTGTAACCATATATAACCCATATAGAACCTTAAGGATCCTTACAGATCATTCTTTGACTTCCGGAGTTCATGTCCACTCTCCGACTTCCCTGGCCACTTAGTGGTCAAGCAGTCCATGAAACCCTCCCTGGCCATCCTGGTTTTGAAAAGGGTTCGATCCAGATTGTTGTTCTAAAAATCTGGGTATGATTGGTCAAACCATGTCCAAACCATTGTAATTGCAGTACCCTGCTGTTCACACCAAGTACCGGTTCTTGTGGATGTTCCATGTCGATACACATTGACCCATCATGATGTTATCCCAATGAAACTGTTGCCATGGAACCCCAAACATTTGGGCAAATGACAACAATTTCCCTGTGAGAATGAGGCCATGATGGTTTCCCTTACTAATCATATCTAGCCATCATTAAAGGGGCTTGGTCAGTCAATGAGGTCGCTATAATTTTGCACCAATTTTTTGAGGGTTTAATCCCAATGTTCGATGGTTCATCCTACCCTCTGGTAATTTAACAGTTTGCTATTGAAAATAGCCATAAAAATAGTTGATTTCCCCAGCTACAAAATGGTGGATCTTTCCATAGTTATGTTAGTTCACCAGAGGGTAATAACCATATTATCAACATTAATCACCATATGATCACCATATGATGACCACTAATCACCATGAATCAATGAATCCTTATATAATGTCCTCATTCTGAGATTCTTCTGATTTCCCCAGCTCAATCCGCCAAGCTCAGTCCGGCACTCCCCGGCTGCGCAGCACAGCACATGCTCCAGTCCCACGCGACAGGGCTGAGCCTCATCTCCTGAGCGGACGGCGGAAAACCTCTATATCTGTTACATATAATTATAAATAGTAATTAGTGTTATTGTTCTTGTTATTATTGTTATTATTATCATTATCTATCTATTTATTTATTCATTTATTCATTTGTTTACTTATTGATTTATCTTATGTATTTATGTATCTAGGTATCTATGTATCTATTTATGTATTCATTTATCTATTTATTTATTTATTTATTTATATTGTTATTACTATTACTACTGTTACTAATAACAATGTGAATATTACTATTATTCGTAGGATTATTACCATTCTCAACATTGTTACTACTGTATACATATTCTCTATATATAATACTAAATGCACTATAGTATGTACATGTATATATATATATGTCATCAATAATCATGTATAAATCAACCAGGGTTTAGACATCTGAAGAATGAACAGTACAAATCATCCATTACAAGTATACCATATCTCACATCCTACAATCTTAGACAACCATTTTTTCTTTCCGTAGAAACATTGGTTTCAAAAAAAAACAAACATCGTTAAACCATCGTTAACATAGGTGTTCCCTATTCCATTAAACCATCGTTGAACCATGTTGAACCCTCCGGGGGCACCACTGGGCAAGCCCAGTTCTCGCCAAGCTTCGACAATGTCCCAGGCCTAGTTGACCTTCAAAGCCCTTGCCCCAGGACCAAAGTTCTCCGCCGACGGTGATGGCCAAGGTGAACCTGATCCAAAGTTGGTTGATCGGTGTCCCTACTGGTGATAATACTGGTTGGTGGTTGACCTACCCCTCTGAAAAATATGAGTTAGTCAGTTGGGATATGTTGGGATGATGACATTCCCATATATTAATAAAAAATGTTTGAAACCACCACTCAGTAATATGTTGTAAGGGGGGAGACGAAAACTATCCCATCTCATTATACTAGTTGGTTGATAGGTTTACTGGTTAATATGCTACAAGAATCCCCAAACCAGGTAGTATCATCCTTTAACCAATCAACAGGGGTATTTTTTCATGGCTCACGAAACTTTTTTGATTATATCAGTCATATCCCAGGGTCTTTTGTTGAAGATATCTATATATAATTATATATATATACATGGTTTGTTTTATCACAGGTGTTGATGGTGGAATCCCCATGTGTGTGTGTTGCTGAAGTCTACATTTCTTTTAATATGTTGGTTGGATCCGAAATTCTTCTCGTTTGAAGCACTGTTTCTGGTAATTAGTTTAATCCATGCTTTTTGTTGGTTACACTTTACTGATATATTCCCTGGAAGTATCACTACGGTTGGTGCTTACTCATAGACATATAATATGATAATATGTAATTATCCATGGTGCTTGTGTGCTTGTAGAATCATATCTGTTGAAATTCAACAGATACTATCAACATCTATCAACATATTTTCGTAAGATACTTCTGGATTATCTTATTATATATATATGTATATACATTACTATAGTATATGACCACTATCAACCAGTAGACCACGCATCCAGCCGCACTCCATCTTGCCCCTCAGGTTGCGGCTCGGATCCGCAGGACACCTGCAGGTGTCTTCATGAGACTGCGAAATCATTTTTTGGGATCAGATTTCTTTCAGATTTCTTTCAGATTTCTTTCAGATTTCTTTCAGATTTCTTTCAGATTTCTTTCAGATTTCTTTCAGATTTCTTTCAGATTTCAGATTTGATTCCATCTCTGACTTTCAATCAGCCACTGATGGGCTTGGAGAAAAATTTGCGCGGACTTGTAATCGAACTGAATCGAAGATATGGTCCTTCAGCAGTCTGGATCTGCATCAACTACCGGATAACAAGCCACATGAAATCACACTCACGGACATTCATATCCCACTTATGACCATTTCTATATGATTTACGTATACTGAGGGTAGAATTATCCCATAATTAGAAGGGTTAACTAACCATGACTGTTTGCAGGCTACCCACTGGAATGTGCATCAAGGTATTTGTCACTTGCAATGTTTTCAGTCCATCATTTTGTCACTGAAACCGTTCTGCAAAGTTCTGCAATCCATTCCAAAGCTCCTGAGGTGCACCCAATAATTGGCCACACCCAATGTCCCATGTGTTTTTTTGAACATACTATGAATAGACCTCCAAAATTGGAGTTGTACCCCTGGCTTTCCCACATTTTAAAAATGCCATATCTCCACATATCCCGAGTCCAAAAATGTGTGCCTCAGAAATTCCTGGGATGCTAAGGGGCCCTGACCTGCTTCACCAGTTTGCCAGGCAGCACTAGTTCCTTTGGAACCCAGAAGTAGGTCTGGGAGTCATCTGCCGCGGCGTTGGCGCGTCTTGTGGGGGGCCAGGGACGGGGACCCTCAAATTGCTGATCACTTTGAGAAGTTGAAATTCTGAAAACAGGAGACGCCCCGGAATTGTAGTTTTAATGATTTTAAATCCATCTATATCATTGGCAGCGTGATTTCCTCAAACTGTGGGATTTTGTTTCCTACAAGTTTCAAACAAAACCCTGTTGCGGACCTCTTTCAGGGCGCGGTACAAATGCAATGATCATACTGGTGCTCAATCTTACAGGGTGGGGGGACTTCCAAAGACATAGACATAGCATCGAGGCATCCCAAAGGTAGGTCAACCACACAACGAAGATCTCTGAAATCATGCAGTTCCGCAGTTCGCACAAGTCTTCGATGTTGGTCACAAGAAATCCCAATCCCCATTAGTGAAAGGATCCCTCATCCTTGTCCCTCAAACCCTCTTCGATATTGGCAAAAGTCCCTAGCCCACCACAAGGAACAGAAGCGCATAAAAACCTTGTCTAGACAATGTGGCAAACAAGAATTAAACCATACGCCAGACGCTTTGGCGGTATAAGAAAGAATAAGCGGGTTGTAGCAGCGAGTTTCTCAATGCCATCAAACGGATGACTTCCCAATGCGAATTATCATTGAGCCACTTTAATTTCTACAAGTGTTTGTTTGGAAGAAGACAATCTTGGTGTTCATGCCCTGGTTTTCATGCCCTGTTGCTGGTAAACACCTCGTTCTGGTCACTCGCTCCATTTTTGGTGGTCGGTCTGCAAGCACATGAAACTACACTCTTTCAGACTTACATCCCCATTTTTGTTAGTTAAATCCACATATTTTTGTTGGTTCAATGTATATACTGGTTGGTGGTTTTAACCCCCATGAAAAAATGCTCGTCATAGGGAATGATCAGCCCATTTCTATGGTTGAAAAGAAACACTATGACACTATGAATATGAACGATACCACCAAGCGGATCATCTCAATCCAAGTGCCTGGTCCAAATCCCTGCACGCTCTTTGTCGACGTTGTCGACCTTGTCTCTCATCCCTTGATGATGGTAGGACAGCAGGAGGATCTGGAATGGACTTACCCTCTGGTAATTTAACATAGCTATTGAAAATGGTGATTTATAGTGGATTTTCCCATGAACAATGGTGATTTTCCATAGCTATGTTAGTTTACCAGAGGGTAACAACATCTTCCAGGCTGT